AGCCAAACAGGAAACCTGGAATTCCACGCTGTCCACAGCACTCTAACCGCCCAGTACCCAACAAAAAGAGGAAACAGCCCTCACATGATGGGCAACTAGAAAGCTTGATAAGGACTTCCAAGTAGCGCGACAGACTGCGCTGCCCTCCGCCTGACGGATAATTAAAGAAGCAATGTGGTTTCATAGAGCACTGCATGACATCTGCAACACAGTCATGCCCCACATCAGACAGAGCTACGAAAACTCGACTTACTGGTGGTCGGAGGAAATTAGAACCACACGAACGGCCTGTATAAATACACGACGGCGCTTCCAACGCGCTCGCAAGAAGAAATATCGCGATCTGATACATGAAGAAATTCTATATCAGGAATACAGAGCAATGACTACTAATTACGGCAACAGATAAAAGAAGCAATGTCCCGTGGATGGGAAGAGTTTCTCGGCCCTCTCGACCTTTGGGACCTTTGGGGCGTGCCTACCGTTTAGTCCTGGGGAAATTACGCACCAGGGCATCCTCTATCAGGGAAACCCAGGATCCTCGAAACCTTGAGAATACTTTACGCACTCTCTTTCCGAGCTCGACAAGCGACAAACTTGTTACCATACACACCACAAGAGAAATGACCCTGACGCCTATATCTAACGAGGAGCTGACTCAGGCAATCGCAAGAATGGGAAAAATGAACACTGCACCCCGCCCGAACGTTGTTTCAGGCCAAGTATTAGTGAAAGTTGTTACCGAACTTATCGAAAGGGTGAGGAGATTCCTCAAGGCGTGCCTCCGAACAGGAATATTCCTAAAAGAGTGGAAATTAGCAAATCTGGTCCTAATCCTGATAACGGGCAAAAAAGCCATGGACCCACCATCGCCGCTCAGACTACCGAACGAAATGGGGAGCTCCTAGCAAGAATTGTCGCCAATAGGATTACCACTCACCTGTCACACACAGGCCCAGATTTCTTAGACAACCAGTTTGGGTTTCGTTTTGAGCGCTCAACCATAGATGCCATCGACGGGGTTGTGAAATTCGCGCAGTCGGCTATCTCCCAGGGAGGGGTCACGCTCGCGATGACAATTAACAACATCAATGCCTTCAACCTCTACTCTGGAGTAAAATCACAACAGCTTTGACCAAGTATAGCATTCCTCTATATCTGAGAAGTGCTATCAACAGCTACTTCTCGGACAGGTCTATTGCATATAGCATTGAAGATGATACCAGATTTGTCAAGAAAATGACAAGAGGTGTTCCGCAGGTCTCCATTCTTGGCCCACTACTCAGGAATATAGGGTACAACTTGTGTGTTACGCCGATGACACTCTACTTATTGCCATCGGCAGGCCCTGGACCCGCACACAAAGGCTGATGGAGAGGGCGGTGGCTGCTATTATCACGAAGATACGGTACCATGGACTAGAATTCGCCGCGCACAAAACCGAAGCCCTTTGGTCCCACGGCCTTCCTCGAACACGAAACCCTCCTCTCACATGGCTTTACGTGCAAGAGAAACGCAAGGTGAAAGAAGATCTCAAATACCCTGGCCTCAAGCTAGACGACCGCCTGAAATTTGAAACTCATTTCAACCGCCTGGCAGCCAGAGTCGATGGAGTCGCAGCACTCCTGAGACGCCTTTTCCCGAATATCCAGGGGAACCAGAAGAGAAAGTCCGCTGCCTTTACACTGGAGTTATCAGATCTATGATCCTATTCAGGTCACCGATGGGACACATCA